TTTTTCTCTGTACCAACACGCTGACGCACACTCTTGCACAAAATCACAAAATACCAATTTTATTTTGTGGATATATTGTGGATTTCATATATTATTGTAAGAGAGGTGTTGAACAAATTGTTCTCTGATCCGATTGGACTGCAATCCGCTGATGTGAACCGCTTCGAACAGCCTTACGCCTCCGATGGCCTGCAAAACGCCGGGATGGGTCTCGCGGAAAACACTTCGACGCCCAAGTCAGTTCACGTTCAACGGTAATATAACAATGAGATTTTTTTTTGCGCATGTATGTGTGTCGTTTTAAAACAAACAACCTGTGTCACTTTTATAGTTGAGGTTACGTATAGGTCAAAGAACTCCTGTTGAACAAGAAGTCTTCTCGTGTTTTGTCGCTTGATCAGGCCGAACATTTCTGAATCCCCAGAGTCCTTGACATTAAAAACCCTTTCAGCCGAGGCTCTCACTGATCCCTCATGCCGTTGATTTGAGCTTGCAACGGGTGATCTCGATTGCCTGACCATTCGCGTCCACGTCCATCCATCTTTCAACATGTTCACTGTCGTTGAAATTTCATTGAAATATATTTTAGTTTGAATTTTATCATTTTCTTGCAGTGTGTTTATCCCTATTAAAGGGCTTGATTCAAAATTCTTTTTTTTTTCAAAACATCAAATAGCATTGCACTAGCTTGGAATATACAAACTGAGTAACCAACAGTTCACACTTAGGAGAACCCATTAGAACTCCTCTAGAAGACCATAAAGGCCAAAGCAACAGGAAAAAGAAAGCTAAACCAAACCACCAACAAAAATTAAAACAAACTAACAAACAAGAACTAAACGAGCTAGCAAAAATGAAAATGTCTTGAACAATAGCATACAAATCAAAAGAGAAAACAACTCTTATTACATCTAGGCTTTTCACCAGCTGCTCGCTCATCTTCGACAAAAATCTTCACTCTCCTCCAATAGAAAGGTAGTTCACAATGGATTTCCCAAAGCGTAATACTAAAATTAACTTTATGCAGCGACTTGTCCAAAGTGTTTCTGTAACCAATTTGATCGCAATAGAAATGGTAGTTCATAATATAGACGTCTAAGATTCAAATCATTTCTTTTGTTTTTTGCGTGAATAAAAAAAATAAAAGAAAGGAACCATTTTTGGAAGATGGGATTTATAATGGCTAGCTAGGTCATGGACTACTGTGTTTATTGAATAAGGAGCTCAAAAATTATTTGAAGTTTCACATCAAGGCACTTTTTTCTTTCCTTTAGTTTTACACCTACCTACACCATTGTTAACCAGAAATTTCGGCTTGAATAAGTCACTTATATATTCTCATCACGTTACTACCCAAAATCCATATAATATTTATCTTTAACCACTTATATATTCTCATCACGTTACTACCCAAAATCCATATAATATTTATCTTTAACAGTTCAAGACAAAAGGTAACAATATAAGTCATATAGCATACAAATTGACAAATGTTAAGTTCTTATACTAATAATATCTTCATTTGAATTGAAGATCTTTAAACACCATCATGTGATACCAAAATACACACAATATCATGATTATTGTGAAAAATGGTCACAACACCAGAAATATGGTTGAAGTGACGAGATTTAAAAGTTGGCGTAGTGAAATTGCAATTCAACTGAAGATGACATCCTCAATAATCTCAACAAAGAGGGTTTATGATTAAAATTTGTAATTTCTGATGGATTTTTGACGTACGAATCAATTGCACGAGCAGCGGAATTTTAAAAAATTTTCTTATCAATAACGAAGATCCGGCTATAGTTATTCGATACGATCCTACATTGCGTGAATAATTAACGAAATTTACAGTTTAAGCTTTGTCTTCAACTATGGTATCCACGCAATTCAGATCCCGGTACACGATCCAACGCAATGAATCTTTTCCGGTTAGGAATCCTCAATCAGAAAGCATGAGAATATTTCTTTTCTCTCATCTCTAATCTAATGATCGTAAAAGACTACCACGAGATAAGGACCTATTTATAATTAGGTCAAACCTAATTATATGGGCCTTAGGATAACTCAGCCCAATACGTAATTGGACATAATCTGATTAATGATTTAATTAAGTGTAAGTCCAATTTAACTTAATTAAATATTTTCTATCTAATAGAAAATAATACTCATTACTCAAAAATAAATATTCCAATCTAATTGAATATTTAACACTCTCGATTCACTCTAAGCCGGAAAATAGATTGCATATTGTGTGACCCTGTAGGCCTTCATATATTGACATAAATATAATTTATGATCCTTACGAAACTCCTAGACCGCGTCGAAGGACAAACTCAAAATATGAAGTACGTTTACATAGACAAAGCAAACAAACCTTTGGTGTAGAATTCAATAGTGATACGGTCCTTTCATTCACGAACCACTCGATTAAGCTTAGAACTTGAACGTGTGTCTATCCAAACAGCTTAATAATTTTATCTCATCTCACTGGTTGATTTTATCAATTATATTTGAACACGTTTCAAATATAATCACGTGCATTGGCCAATGACTTTATCAACCCAGTATAGAGAAAACGAGTGTTCTCTCGAAACTATATTCGAGGAAAGAATCCTATCTTGGCTCAACTATCAATTCCATGTATATCGTGATCAACCCAACACAAGCCCGTATCTACCCATAAGGGCGTAAGCCTTGGACTAGGTCTAAGGAAATCACTCTATACATGAATTGCGTATTGACCTCAAGTCAAAGGACCATTACACCATTCTACATACCGATACTCCCATAGACACATAAACAAATGGTTTATCGGTAGGGTATGCTAATACTCTCCAAAGTATCCATGTGTCCATCACGAATAACAATTATTCGTAGCAGTGATGCATACTATATTCTCCAAGAATGTGATGCAGACCACATGTCAATCTATCGCGTATCGTTAATATCCCTTTCTTAATGATCATCGACTGAGGCGATTTGAGAGTTATACTTTATCAATTAACATCTCACTCTGTTAATGATAGTATTAACTCAAAGGAGCAATTAATTAATAAATTGCAACCAATCAAACAATTATCTAATTAATTGCAATATCATAATCTATATACATATATATATATATATATATATAATAAGAATTACCATTTAACAAAAATAGTAGCAAAAAAATAGGAGAGAATTTAATGCAATCAATAAATAGTAAGTTTTATTATTTTTTATTCTTATCTTTAAAAAATAATACAACACTAAATGTTACATTTAATTTTGGGTTTAATTCATTTTATTATTTAAAAGTTTCAGTTAAGATCTATTAAGTGTGCATTTTTTTATTTATTTTTTTAATAGAAACAACGAAGAACATTAAAATCTCAGTCTCTATATTTATAAAATCTCAATTCAAAAGGTAATAAAAATTTTAGAATATCGGTCTTTATATTTATGCCTTTCAAAATAAATATTGAATGCTATTCTTTAAATGTCGTTTTCCACTAATTATCACAATTTTTTTTATTTGGAACATGATAATAAACTTGGTAATTTTTATCAATTATTTTTTTACCAATCTATTGTTTTTTTCTATACTCGGTTTCAAAAGGTAAAATAATTTTCAAATTCTCAGTCTCAATAATTGTGCATTTAACAAAATATATTTAATGATAATATATTATTTGTTAATAGTACACAATTTTGAAAACTCCATTATAAATTGTATGTTGATATCCAAATCATTTTATAAATGCAATAGACTTTGTTAAATCTTCACGAAAATATAGTAAACAAAATGAGACGATCAACTTTGTATGGAAATGAAATAGAATCAATAAATCAATATGAAGTTCTAAGAAAATTAACATAATGAATAATTTGTATAGTACACGGACTAGAAAATAATACTCACATGGATTCTAAAATTCAAACTTATACTTATCATCATCTTTTGGAAATTGAATAATATATTGTAGGCAAGTTTTTTTAAAATAATTTTAACATGCTTTATTTATAAAATAGTTTAGAAAAATTTTAGGTGACTTCACATCTTTCAATAAGGATATATAAAATTTTAGATATTTTACATACGTTATATAATATTTTTGGTGTTTTTATTATTTTAAACATATCTTTTTATGTTATTTTATACAAGATAATTTTATATTGTTTATATCTGATATACGACAAATTATGTCACAAATAAACTCCACATCTTAATTACAATTCTTAGTTAATATTGTTTACCCTCATATTTAGTTTATAATTATTAGTTAATATTGTTTACTATCATCTTTAATTTATAATTATTATTTATTATTATTTTTGCCCGTGCATCGCACGGGCTACACACTAGTTATAATCCAATATAATTATTAATGTGATCATATATATATGTCCTCAAAAAGATTGTCTCTAAGACACATATACCAACAATTTCTACAAATACACTAAAATTGAGTTTCAGATGTCACTATTATTTATTTGACCAGATTTCCTTAATTTATTGAAATAGGAAATCAACTATTTTTTTGCTACCATTTCGGCTAATCCAAGTACTCAAA